GCCGGAAGTGCCGCTGTGGCTCAAGTGGTAGAGCGCTAGCCTTGAGCTGATGAGCTGAGGGACAGCACCCAGGCCCAGAGTTCAGGCCCCACGACCGGACCTCCTCCCCCCCCAAAAAAACCTTCCTTGTCTTGGGCTGGGAAGGTGACTCAGTGGTAGAGCACTTGCCTTGCATGCCTGAGACCCTGGGTTCGATTCCTCAGCACCACATAAGCAAAAAGAAAAAAGCTGGAAGTGGTGCTGTGGCTCAAGTGGTAGAGCGCTAGCCTTGAGCTGAAGAGCTGAAGGACAGCGCCCAGGCCCCATGATTGGACCCCCAAAAAAATGTAAAAAAAAAACAAAACCCACCACCACTGGTTATGTAAGCACATACATTTATATATATGTGTGTGTGTGTGTATTATAAATATGGATATATTTATATACACATGCAAATATTTTCTTTTATCCAGATTTTCATAAAATGTTGTAGTATTTCATTTATTTTATAATCATAAGTACTGTACACATTACATATATACATTATACATACATAAAATATCACAGCATAAATCTATTATTCAGAATTTCCTCTTTTAATGATTAATATGGGTTTCTTTTTTTTGTTTTTGTTTTTGTTTCTTGCTGGTCCAGGGGCTCAGACTCTAGGCCTGAGCACTGTCCTTGAGCTCCTTTTTGCTCAAGACTAGTTCTCTACCACTTGAACCATAGCTCTGCTTCTAGATTTTTTTTTTTTTTTTGGTACTTTATTGGAGAAAAGAGTCTCACAGACTTCTGACAGAGTTGGTTTCGGATCGTGATTCTCAGATCTCAGACTCCTGAGTAGTTAGAATAACAAGCATGAGCCACTGGTGCACAATTTTGAGTAGCATCTTATGTAACTGTGGGGTATTTAATACAACACAGAAATCAATATTAGTGTATTTCTTTGAAACTCCAGGTATTACTTGGATCATTCCCATTTTTGCATCCTTGTCTACTTTCTTTTCTGGATTTCCACTAGGATTCCACATTGTATCTAACCATCATGTGTTCTTAGGTTCCTCCAATGGGGAACACTTCATACGTCTTCCTTAATCTTTCTTGATGGTGGCACTCCTGAATAGTTCGTCTATTTTAACATATATCTCTTTCCTTAAGGCTGAGCTGCTGAAGAACCCATGGCATTTTACCTGTAGAATTCCCTACCATCTGCACAATTTAACCATACACTTCAGCATTGCTTCTATTTCCACATATTGGCATCTGGATTCAAAGACTGAGTATGATTCACATTTGGTCCCTTTAGAAAGATCTTAATTTGCTTTTTTGTTTTGTTTTGTATCTGTACTGGTCCTGGGTTTTGAACTCAGGGCCTATTGCTGTCTCTGAGCTTTTTTGCTCCACTTCCAGCTTTTTTTATTTTTAATTCCCCCCCCCCCCCGCCCCATCTCCCCACCCCACCCTATCCCCCACCCGCCAAAGTTGTACAGTTTGTTTTCGACATAAGGACTTGTACATCTCATTGTTGCCATGGGTCCACCTGTATTTTATGTGCTTAATTGGAGATAAGAGTCTCTTTCCTGCCTGGGCTGGCTTCCAGCTGCTATCCTGAGATCTCAGTTTCCTTAATAGTTAGGATTATAAGCATGAACCACCAGCACCTGATCTAAATTTGCTTTTAGTATAAAACAATCTTCCTTCCTGCTCTCCGTTCTCCTTATGCCTTTAACTTATTTAAGATAGTGCTTCCTTGAAGTAAGCAAGCTTTCCTACTGCTTACTTCCATGAGCAGAAAGGAGAATGAGCCTAACTGCTGGGTGAGACCCAAATCTAGGCCTAAGTGGTAGTGTAGGCAAAGCCTTCATTCATGAATGAATTCATAAATTCATGAATATATGCCTATTACAGGAAATAGGTTACATACATCAGTGTTTTGCCTTTTTGCACCTGAATATTGGATGCATTTAGAAGGATGGGGACCATTAACTGTTCTTAATGTCTGGAAAGATCTAGAATCTCAGTGTTAGGTGAACAAACATTGGGTGTCTTAGAGTTGAAGCCCGTAATTGGATGACTTTTAGGTGTAATGAGATCCTTGGAATAATATGGAACAGTGTGTGGCCTGCAGTCTTAAACAGAGTACAATAAACTCCAGAAGCAGAGCACCAAGGATATTTTTTTTCTTTCTTTTTTTAGATAAGTTTCTTTTTTTTCCCCAGGGCTGAGGACCGAACCCAGGACCTTGTGCGTGCCAGGTGGGCGCCCTTCCGCTGGGCTAAACCCCCAACCCCTTTGATACGTTTCTATTGTAAAAATAGTGTACAGAGGGGTTACACTTACATGAGTAAGGTAATGAGTACATTTCCTATCAAGCATTGTTACCTCCTCTTTGTTCCCCCCCCACCGTCCCTTCCCTCCCTATTCCCCACAAGTTGTAAAGTTCGTTTTCAACATAGTGTCTTGTACATCTCATTGTTACAATGGGTCAACCTGTATGCCTATTTAAGCATTTTGTTTTTTCTCTTCCCTTCCCCAAATTAGAAAAGAGCATATACAAAATACAGTGCACCAGAATCAAATACAGTGAAACAGGGGTTATACCGTGGGGGAGGAACATACCAAAGAAACAAAGAAAAATCACATAGTATATTAGAAGTATGTTAAAAACAATAGCAAGAAAGAAGTAAACTACTTGTGACCCTGTCTTGGGGTTCATTTCACTTAACATCATCTTATATGGTCATATGTACATAGCTTTTGAACATTTCTGCTTGTCCTAGACATATACTAATTATTGCAAATAAGGAAAACCATGGGACCTATGCTTTTTTGGGCCTGGCTTACTTCACTTAATATAATTTTTTCCAAGTCTTTCCATTTCCTAACAAATAGGGTGATGTTATTTTTTCGGATGGAGGCATAGAATTCCATTGTATATATCTATATCTATATCACATTTTCTTGATCCATGCATCTACTGAGGGGCATCTCGGTTGGTTCTATATCTTAGCAATGGTAAATAATGATGTGATAAACATAGTTGTGCTGATAGCTTTAGTATACCCTTATTTGTGGTCATTTGGGTAAATGCCCAAAAGTGGGATTGCTGGGTCATAGGGGAGCTCTATGTGGAGTCTTTTGAGGAACCTCCATACTGCTTTCCAAAGTGGTTGAACAAGTTTACACTCCCACCAACAATGCAGTAGGGTTCCCTTTTGGCCACATCCTCTCCAGCATCTGTTGTTATGAGAGCTCTTGATTATAGTAATTCTAGCTAGTATGAGTTGGAATCTCAACGTTGTTTTGATTTGCATTTCTTTTATGGCTAGAGAAGTTGAACATTTCTTCATGTGTCTATTGGCCATTCTTATTTTCTCTTCTGAGAAGTTTCTCTTTAAGTCTTTAGCTCACTTATTTATTGGGCAGTTGTTTCTTTGAGGATTTGTTGTTGGGGGATTTAATTTTTTGAGTTCTAAGGATGTTTTAGATATGAGACTCTTGTTCGTTGTATGGGTAGTTAAAATCTCCCAATACGTGGGCTTTCTATTGATCTTGCTAGCTATGTCCTTTGCCATGCAGAAGCTCTGCAGTTGAATGTGATCCCATTTGTCCAACCTTCCTTTGAGTTGTTGTGTTTCTGGGTCTCTATTAAGAAAATTTTGGCCTGTGCCGATGAGCCCTAGAGTTTCTTCTATTCCTCCTGTAATGTTTTCAGGGTGTCTTCTTTGACTCCGAGGTCTTTGATCCATTTGGAGTTGATTCTGGTGCAGGGTGATATATAAGGATCTAGCTTTAGTTTTCTTCAGGTGATTAACCAATTTTGCTAGCACCATTTACTGAAGAGACTGTCTTCCATTCTATTTTTTTAGCTCTCTTATAGAAGATTAGGGGGCTATAGATCTGTGGGTTCATTTCTGGGTCTTCAGTTCTATTCCATTCATCCTCAGGTCTGTCCTTGTGCCAGTACCAAGCTGTTTTGATTACTATGGCTTTGTAGTAGAGTTTGAAATTTGGTATTGATATTCCTCCAGCACTGTTCTTTCTGTTAAATATTGTTTTTGCTATTAAGGGTCTTTTACTATTCCATATGAATTTTTAGATTGCTTCTTTCATTTCATTGAAGAATGAGGTTGGAATATTGATAGGTATTGCATTGAATTTGTAGATAGCCTTGGGAAGTATTGCCATTTTCACAATGTTAATCCTCCCAATCCAGGAGCATAGGAGGATTTTCCACTTCCTAAGTTCTGCTTTAATTTCCTTTTTCAGGTTTTTAAAGTTTTTGTCATAGAGTTCCTTCACTTCTTTAGTTAACTCCCAGGTATTTTTTTTTTTTTTTGGTGTGGCTATTGCAAAAGGAGTTGCTTTCCTGATTTCAGCCACACTCTTCTCATTGTTGGCATAGAGAAAAGCCACTGATTTTAGAGGGTTGATTTTATCCCCTGCTACTTTGCCAGTTTCGAATCAGCTCGAGTAATTTGGGAGTAGAGTCCATGGGATTCTTTAAATACAAGATTATGTCACCTACAAAGATGGGGAGTTTTACTTCATTTTTCTCTATTTGGATCCCCTTTATGTTTGCATCTTTTCTTATTGCTGTAGCTAAGCATTGTAATACTAAATTGAATAGAAGTGGAGAGAGTGGACATCCCTGTCTCATTCCTGAGTTTAGAGGAAATGGCTCTAGCTTTTCACCATTAAGTATAATGCTGGCTGTAGGTTTGTCATATACAGCTTTTATTATATTGAGGAATGTTCCATGGATTCCTAGTTTTTCCAGAGCCTTCATCATAAAGGGGTGTTGGATTTTGTCAAATGCTTTTTCTGCATCTACTGAGATAATCATGTGGTTCTTTTCCTTGTTCTCTTCCTGGTTCTTTTCTTGATGTGATAAATTATGTTAATTGATTTGTATACATTGAGCCAGCTTTGCATCCCTGTAATGAATCCTGTTTGATTGTGGTGTATAATTTATTGATGAGTTGTTGAAGTCGATTGGACAAACTTTTTTTTTTTTTCCCATTTTTGCTTAATTTATTTCTCTGAAGACCACCTCCTTACAATTTCCAGAGAGAAAATACAAAACGAGAGACAGACTTGGTTTCAAATACACAAATGGTGTGCTGGAGTTAAAGCACGGCCGACAGCATGGTGACAGAGAGAGGTCAGCTCGCTCCGGGGCACTTCAGTATTCCTGAGGAATAAACGCGATTCTCTTCCTCCCGAGGGGGTGCTCTCTGCTCCGTGTAGTCACTGCTCCTGCTCTTTTACATATTTTCCATGTAGAAGATATGGAGACTGGAAATCATGCTGACAGTTGGAGTAGGCCATCCCTAGTCCCATGCCAGAACCAAAGGCTAACGGCCACGTTCTTCTTTTAAAGAAGGTAAGTGAGAAAACAACTCCTAGTCCAAAACCAGTACCTATCTTCACGACCGTATCTGCCATGCACCGGTCCCACTTCTTGCCGAGGTCGGACTCCGACATGTTCCCCACCCGCAGCTCCAGCTTTTCCTCACGGCCGGCCCCCGCGCTTTGACTCCCGGCAAGTCTCGCGAGAGCCGGCCTCCGTTGCAGGCCCGGAAGGCCTGCTTCCCAGATATCGCGGGATTACTTTGGAATTTGTTGAGAAGTTTTACATTGATGTTCATCAAAGAAATGGGTCTATAGTTTTCGTTCTTTGATGAGTCTCTGCCTGGTTTGGGGATGAGTTATGTTGGCTTCATACAAAGAGTTGGGTAGTGAGCTTTCATTTTCAATTTCATTGAAGAGTTGGAGGAGTATTGGTGTGAGTTCTGCTTTGAAGGCCTTGTAGAATTCCACTGGAAATCCATCCAGTCATGGGCTTTTCTTAGAAGGGAGGTCTCTTACTGCTGTTCCAAGGATAATTTTTAAGGGAAAGAAAAGCTGGGTGCGGGTGGTTCATGCTTATAATACTAGCTACTCATAAAGCTAAGAACTGAGGATCACAGTTTGGAGCCAGCCTAGGCAGTAAAGTCCATGGGATTTTTATCTCTAATTAACCACCAAAAAGCCAGAAGTGGAGTGTGGTTCAATTGATAGAACACCAGCTTTGAGCAGAAAAAGCCAAGTCAAAGCTGAGTTCAAGCACCAGTTCCCAGAGAAAAATTAAATAAATAAATTTAGAAATGAAAGAAAACAGAATATGGAAAAGGAAAGCTAGTGCTGAGGTTTGAAGTCATTTGGCAAAAATGTTTTCAGCCAGGTGCCTGTGGTTTAAGCTTGTAATCCTAGCTACTCAGAAGAGATCTGAGGGTCAAGGTTCAAAGCTAGCCTGGGCAGGAGAATCCATGAGACTCATCTCCAATTAACCACCAGAAAACTGGAAGTGGTGCTGTGGCTCAAAGTGGTAGAGTGGTAATCTTGAGCAAAAAAGCTCAGGGACAGCACCCAGCCCCTGAGTTCAAGCCCTGTAATTGACAAGAGAGAAAGAACGAAAGAACAAAAGGAAGAAAGAAAGGAAGAAAGAAAGAAAGAAGGAAGGAAGGAAGAAAGGAAAGAGGGAGGGAGGGAGAGAGAGAATGAATGAAAGAAAGGAAAAGGAGAGGGGGAAGGGGAGGGAGAGAGAGAGAGAGAGAAATTTTCATAGATGTTGCATTCCTTATCATAGGACATCATCTTCTTACTCCAGGTCGTTTTGGCCTAGTGCAAGTCAGTGCTTAGGTATTGCAGCTAGGCTGCTGTATTTTTCTACCCTCCCTGTGGTCAGAGATGAAGCCTCTTTCCTAACAATACAGGAGATTATCACTCTGTCTTTCTGAATGAGAATATTCTGACCCACATCAGTTCCCTCACATGCATTCACATCCTTGTAAATTGTCTTCTCCAGGATACCAGCCTCCTGCACTTACCTTTAATAATGTGTGAACTGTTTCCTCCTGTGTTTCTTCTTGTCCCCCTAAAGAAAAAAGGTAAGTTGTTGAGAAGACACTCAAGTTACAAAAATTGATCTGTATATATATTTCTACTTGGCACCAGATCCCAATTCCTGTGTGTGTGTGTGTGTGTGTGTGTGTGTGTGTGTTTAAATGACCATGGTTCTCCATGTGATAATGTTGTGTGTGGTTTTTTTTTTTTTTGGTCAGTCATAGGGCTTGAACTCTGGGCCTGGGTGTTGTCCCCGAGCTCTTCAACGCAAGGACCACTTGAGCCATGGCGCCACTTCTGGTTTTCTGGTAGTTTATTGGAGATAAGAGTCTCACGGACTTTCCTGCCTGGGCTGGTTTTGAACTGTGATCCTTATTTCTCAGCCTCCTGAGTAGCTAGGATTACAGGCATGAGCCTGGCTGTGTTGTGGTTGTTTTTAATCCCAATTAAGAAATATATAACAAATCGAAGGCATTTGTGTATGCCTCATGATGACATTTATGTATACTTGCAAAAAAGTATGTTATTTATTCATTGCAGGCAATGCTTGAGATAGATAGGGCTTGTTGTGTCCTTGTAACAATTTACTTCACCAACCCCCAGTCTGTTTTGACAGGTTGGAAACAACAGCATGTTGTCATTTAAAAAATAAAAATAAAAATGGGCTGGGCACCAGTGGCTCACATCTGTAATCCTAACTACTCAGGAGGCTGAGATCTGAGGATCATGGTTCAAAGCCAGCCCAGGCAAGAAGTCTGTGAGACTCTTATCTCCAATAAACTACTAGAAAACCGGAAGTGGAGCTGTGGCTCAAGCATTAGAGTGCTTGCCTTGAGCTGAAGAGTGCAAGGACAGTGCCCAAGGCCAGAGTTCAGGCCCACAACCAACAAAAAATAAATATATAAATAGAAATTAAAATTAAAATGTAGGTACAGATATGAGTCTCCGTTAAGAATTTGGCTATAGGGGCTGGGAAGGTGGCTCAGTGGTAGAGCGCTTGCCTTGCATGCATGAGGCCCTGGGTTCGATTTCTCAGCACCACATAAGCAAAAAGAAAAAAGCCAGAAGTGGCACTGTGGCTCAAATGGTAGAGTGCTAGCCTTGAGCTGAAGAGCTGAGGGACAGAGTTCAGGCCCCGCGACCGGACACCCCCCCCCCCAAAAAAAAAAGAATTTGGCTATAATCCTAGTTCCTCAAGAGCCTGAGATCTTAGGGTGGTGATTCAAAGCCAGCCAAGGCAAGAAAGTCTGTGATTATCTCCAATGAACCACCAAAAAGCCAGAAGTGGACCTGTGCCTCCAGTGGTAGAGTTCTCGCCTTGAGCATAAAATCTCAGGGACAGCACAAAAAAAAAAAAATTAGGATTCTTTTTTTTTTTTTTTTTTTTGGGTCCAGTTGTGGGGCCTGAACTCTGGGCCTGGGCGCTGTCCCTCAGCTCTTCAGCTCAAGGCTAGAGCTCTACCACTTGAGCCACAGTGCCACTTCCGGCTTTTTTCTTTTTTGCTTATATGGTGCTGAGGAATCAAACCCAGGGCCTCAGGCATGCAAGGCAAGCACTCTACCACTGAGCCACCTTCCCAGCCCGAAAAAATTAGGATTCTTGAGTCCAACATACATCTGTATCTCAGCTCTCCTGAATAAGGGAACTGTGGTAAATGACTTAATCTATTTCCTCAGTTTCCTAATCTATAAAATTGATTATATACCTACTGAGATCATAAGATTGTCATTTACAGAAAATACTTCATTTAAACTTTGCTCAGTGCTTTAAAGTTCAATATCCATCAATTACATATAATGAGCTAACTAAACTAGGATCATATTGTTTTTGTTCATAGTATTAGTTTGTGGGGGAGGGGGCACCTGGGTCTTGAACTCAGGACCTGGGCACTGTTCCTGAGCTTTTTTGCTTAAGGATAATGCTCTTCTAGTAAGCCACATCTCCATTTCCAGCTTTTTGGTAGTTCATTGGAGATAGGAATCTCATGAACTTTTATGACTAGGCTGGTTTCAAACTCTGATCTTCAGTTCTTAACTCCCTGAGAAGATAGGATTACAGGCAAGAGCTCCAGCACGCAGCTTGTACTATGGTTTTAAACTCAGATTCTCATGCTTGCTAGGCAGGTGCTCTTCCAGTAGAGCCAGATCTCCAGCCAGTTTTTGCTTTAGTTATTTTTTTAATAGGATCTGGAAGTTTTAATTGAGGGATAGCTTTGGGCCTGGATCCTACATATGACTGCCTTTTAGATTTGATTACAGATATACCTACCATACTCAATATACTTACTGAGATGGGATCTTCCTAAAATATTACATGGACTGGCCTAGATTTGAGATCTCCCCAAACTCTTCCTCTCCAGGAACTGGGATTACAGTCATAAACCAGCATGACTAGGAAAATGGGATCATATTCTGTATTCCATTTTGTAGCCTGCTTTATCAACTTACTTACTGTGGACATTTTTCATATTAATTTTCTCCTATAGCTTCGTACATAGCATTTCATTGTGTGGTTTTGCCACAATTCATTTGACCTATCTCCAATCATGGGGAAAGTGATATGTTTAGACAAGTACCTTCCATACTTGGGTCAGGTATCTAGGTCTTTTAATGGTAGGTGGAGAGGACACTGATCAGAAAAACCTCCTTTAGTTCCAGGCCTTTTCCAGTAGCACTGTTCACTGTCCTCTCCTTCATGGATCTTTAGGAGTTAGTGGTATAAAAATGGGATACATTGTCAAGCCTCCACAAATCTGGGTAGAATCTCAGGACCAGGGAGCCAGGTTAGCAGAGTCACTGTCTTTATATATGGATATGACTTGGTCTAAAGTGAGCAGTCTTCCAATATCTGGCAGTGCTGCTTACATTCATTTCAACATAAACTGAGAGAATATTCTAATGGAAGCCAAGTCCAGTGTGAGATGAGGCCTAACTAGAAAAATAGATCACTGCTGTTAGACTGTACCCAAGTTACACTAGGGCAAAATCTATGTTTTATCACAATGCTGCTTTCATATTGTATTTTCTTTGGGGAAAAGAAAGTATCTAGACTCACCTGAAACAACAGTGGGAGTGTTTTGTAACTGCCTAGGCCAGACTATCTGGGGCATCCAGGAACATTTTTGGTATATGTGCAGACCTTGATGCCCTGAGGTGTATTAAAGGAAATGAAGTAACATCTTAAAGACCTGATTGCTAGTAAGCACACATAAAATGTCCTTTGTTTTTTTTTTTATTAACGTCATCTCACCAGGTTATATTAATTATATTAATCTTAATCATTGGTTGGTGACATACTGTCATCATTGCATTATCTCTCACCCTCTCTGTCTGTCTCTGCCAGTTCTGGGGCTTGAACTCAGGGGTTTATGCTTTTGCTTAGCTTTTTCACTCAATTCTGGTGCTCTACCTCTTGAGCCATAGTCCTACTTCCTCTATGTACCTTTATTGATCTGTATGTTCTGGTAGGAATTTCTTTTGAGTACTATGCTTGAAAATTTAATCACACCTTAGCCACTCATTGCCTGGCATTGTTCTTCACTTCTTCCTCTGAGAGCTGAAGATACTTTCTTGGTGCTTAAGCTTTGGAAATAGAATTCTTTGCCTTATCACCAGTCTTCAGCCTAGAATCAAACTCTCCTGAGTACATTTTGTCACAATAGGATGTGGGCAGTAA